CTCATATGACCTTATGCAGTTGCGAGCGCCGTAAAACCCTATACTAAACAAACAAACAAAACATAATCCTATTCATCCTATTCAAAGCGAATTGTCCGCGGTTTGGGCGAAAAACTAAAAAGATTTTTTTTTTTTTTATTATGGGTTTTTTTTAAAGCGTTTTACGGTGCTCACAGATGTATAAGTTCATATGAGCAGCGAAAAAGGACTTAACGGAGATCCAGAGGCCGAAAACTCATCTCCTCATTCTGCTCTCTGTGTGAGGAAAGCAGCAAGCTGCTGTTCCAACTGATATTCTGCCTTCATTTTAATGCGGAACAATTCCAGACTCCCTGCAGCGGGGCGCCACGCGCGGACTGACAAACGTTGTCGCGGGCAGACACGCAAAGAAAAATCGATGATCCGAAGCTGCAGCGGCGCAAAATGAGAGGGGAAAAAACTCGTGATCCTGATACCAGGCGCGCGTGCTGGGCTGCTGCACGAACACACACACACTCACACACGCACACACACACACTCGCACACACGAGGGTGAGTAACACAAGGACGACTCACTCACTCACGGGCACATGCACGCGCACACGCGCACCCACCCTTACACAGACACTCACTCAAACTGACCATGCGCGCGTGTTCTATGACGCAGTTCCTCGACGACACAGTCTAGAAATTTAGCGGCGTCACTTTGTGTCACGCGTGTGTGTGTGCGTGTTTTGTGTGTGTGTGTGTGTCCCCTTCTCTCTCTCTCTCTCTCTCTCTTTCTCCGTGTTAAACGTAATGACCAGGATTCTCTGAGTCACATAAAAGAGACGAAGGTAAGTTGTCATGCTCGCTTCACTTCATTTTTTTCGCGTACGCACTTTGTTTTACAAGTATAATCGGTTCTAAAACTGTTTGTTTGTTCGTTTGTTTGTTTGTTTGTCTGTCTGTTTGTTTGTTTTTCAAAACGTCACATGGTTTAGGACTAACGTGATTATAATTATTGCCTTATTGTCTAAATAATCCGAATCCAGCAAGTGTGTTCTTAACTTATTACCCGAATCCTGCAAATGTGATGAATACGTGCAAATCTGGAAGATTCCCACTTCTGATTTTGGATATTAACGTAATGTATCTAGTCATACGAGTTATGAACGCAAAATGTCTCACCTCTTATCACGCCTCTAGGTCCTTCGCTCTGACACTCGGCATGTAACAAGAACGTCCTTCTTTTAGATTATAAATATCAGTCTGCTTTCCTGGTATTTTAGTGTGTAAGTGGAGTGTCGCTTCTGGCAGGGCCCCTGCTTCACCTGTTATCTTTACTCTATCTCTGTAGCTTCGCGTAAGTGGTTTTGCTCTCACAAGAGCCCTGTTTTTACTGCGTTGTATAGATCTACGCGTTTTCGTTTCTTTTTTACCTGATGATTATTATTAAACCCAAGATCTCACAGCATATGTATTCTGTGCTGAAAACGTCATGGATCAGTTTAAAACAGCACAGCTTATTTAAAGGACAATTCCTCTGATTTAATATCCATCTTTTAAAACGACAAACAGACTGACAGATAGAATGATAGATAGACATTTATAGGGACAGGCAGGCAGGCAGGCAGGCAGGCAGGCAGGCAGGCAAGCAGGTAGACAGACAGATAAGACAGATAAGACAGACAGACAGACAGACAGGTGCCCAGTCAAACAGATAAATGTAGATCAACTGATAGCTGAAGAATGGAAGAATGGATGTATACATAGGTAGCAATACAGATTTTAAAAATCAGTATGTTTATTTGTCCATATATAAATTTACACCCCACCCCTCTCCACTCACTTTTATTCTTTAAAAAAAATGATAGCATCCATATTTATTACTTTTGGAAGAAGACTGACAAAAAACATAAGCTGGAAAACAAAATGAAACAAAACCAAAACACTCTGTCAATAATATACATTAATATTCTCTTCCTCAGTCCTGTGCCTCTTGAGAGTAAAGGTGTCACCCACTACCGGGATACGTTAAAGAGAAGTCTGCTGAGATACTCAGACTGTGTTGAATCTACTGAAATCCAAATGCAGTCAACAGCAGTCAAAGAAGGAGTCCGAACTTTCCATCTCATCAGTGACATTAGTCAACTGCTGTAGTTATACGTATGTCCCAGAAATATAAAAAAACCAAGCTTCTATGCAGAGAAACTCTGCACCATCTATATAATATATGTATAATTTTAAGGATTCTGATTTTTTTAAAGGAATTTGTAATTGTTGATTTAAAGTAGGCTTTAAATTGGTTATGCTGAGACACTTTGAAAAATTCCCAAGTCTTGTTCTTCTAGCTTTGCCTGGCTTACGGAGAGAATGTGAATTCCCGAGGATAGATTGACATTCATGTTTGTTTCTAAAGACTGATGCAAGCTAATGATATAATATAATATTCTCTCAAATTTATCGCCAGGAAACAGAAAAGCTTGAAAGGATGCTCTTCTTGGACGGTTAAATTAAGAGACCTGTTCAAAAACTGCTAATTAACCAGAAAAGACAATGATCTTGAAAGTCGTGAGAAAAATAACAAGAGTAACAATGCCATACCACGCGAGTGATCAAGAACACTCCTTGACCTCAATCAAAGATCACTTTTGGTGAATGAATCACATCTTTGGAGATTAAAAAGAACTTTTAAAATCTATTCTTCTCATAACAATAAGATCCATCTTAAATTGTGGAACTTGTGTCTTGGCAAACCACTGCTGTTGCCAAGCAACCAAACTTCATCACCATTGGTCAGTTTCCCTGCACACAACCAAAGGTGTGCTATCATTGGCCAGATTTAGAGCACAGCCCTCAACACGTGCCCCGATTGGTCAGCTCAGTAACGTACACTACAATTGGACAGACCCAGACGATGTCGGGTGAAAATAAGAAAGATCTTCACTCCGAGGCACGGAGCTTCAGTGCCAACCTGTCCACGGTCTTCCTTCTCAAGAGAAGAGATCCGCAGACAAAACATTTGCTGGAGAAAGCCCAGGTAAAGATAGCTATTATAATGATGTTATTATGATTATATGGAACAAGATAATAATCTTTTATCCGCCAGTTGAAAAAATAACAGTCCCTTTCTCTCTCTAACTCATTCTTTCTCTTTCTCTCTATCACATACAGACACAGATACACACTCACACCACACACATAGTCACACACACAGTCACACACCCACACACACACACACACACGCTCTCTCTCTCTCTCTCTCT